GAGGATCTTTTCTTCACTACAGAGAATAAAAAAGCCTGTCTCAAAATTATGACATTTTAAAATTGATTGAATGGACTAGATTTGCATATACATCGAGATTTAATCCACATTCAGATTAAATTATTAAAAAATGGACCTAATCGCAAATAATCACTTATGAACGATAATATTAACTTTTAATAATTCTATATTTTACTGTGATTTATATACTTATTATAGCTATAATATTTTTTAATAATATTATATTTGCTCTTAAATACTTAGTATTTTCTAATATTTTATATGCTTGGTTATAATAAATGTTGTATTGATTAGTTCTAATAAATTGTTAATGCTCCAATTTTTTTTTATTTCAATATAAATAAATTCAACGCCCCCCCCCTCCCCACTTCTGTAGATAATTCCTGGCTACGCGCCTTTTTTATCTAACCTAGGACAGGATAAATACGTATTGTTAAATTTTTTTACGCTTTATCCATGCTTATAAGCTAGCTCAGGCCCTTCCAAAAAAAATATCAATTGCCTTAATGATTTTTTTAAATTTCGATCACACCCTCACCCCTCTTCTCGTAACATAGTTTTCAAAATTGTAGTTAATGAAGACCTAGGACATGACTCAAAATTGGTTAGTCGATTTCGATCGATCTCTAAATGGCATTGCACCTTTTTAATTTGAGTAGATATTATATCATATTTGCACATAAAAAACAATGATGAAATAATTTGTTTGTGAACAGCACTATTTAGATTTAAATATTTTGAAAATACAGGAAGTATATACCCGAAACTGAAAACGTTCAGTGCGCCTATTCTGACTTTTATGTCTTAATAAATTTATTACAGATGGAAGTTGTTTAATATCTAATTAAACAAATTTTGGAGATAGCTGTTTGAGACTAAGATAGGGAATAATGTTTCATTTATTGTTATAGTGTTTTATAAAAGGCCGATTTATGGATAATACAACAAGTAATGTTCGACATTAATCTCTTTTTCAAAAATTCTTCTGTAAAATTTGTTTTAAAAATTGTAAGTTATTTAAAAAAAATGATACCAGTTTCTTAAAAATGTTAGATCCATTTAATAATTTTAATAAAATTTTGTTTAAATTAAACTATAAAAATTCCTTCGTATTTTTTGAAAACGGGCTAGTCTTTAAAATACTATATCTAGGACATGTCCCATTTGAGACCCATGACCTTCTCTAATAGCCAATGATATTCGAATTGCAATTCTTCTCACCTTCTGAGATTTAATTTTTTTCTAAAGCATTTTTACTTTGGTATAGCTGGACCACTTTAGATTAGTTATTTTTTACGCGATAAGCTAATTTGTGTTACAGACTTGATGATAATATTAGGACACAATCGAGCTAAAATGGTCCGTCGATATCGATACAAATACATTTTCCACTGATATATTTGCTATCGATAAAAATATCGACACATTTTAGATACATTAATTTTATTGGAATTTCCAAAATAACATTTCAGTTTTTATCAATATGAGGCCTCCTATCAGTAAAACATTGGCGACATTAAATATATCTTCTACTAATGCGCTATATGTAGTGTTTTATTTTAAAATAGATATTTTAAAAATTATTAAAAATAGTGAAATCTTGTCTATGTGGAAAAAAAAATGTTAAGGTTTTGTTTTACATTTTAATTTTCATCATGTTGTAGCATTGGCTCATCAAAAATGAACAATGTAACTTTTTTGAATTTTTTTTCCGCAATTAAGTATAGGAAATTGAAAAAGTTGATAGCTGCTCTTCTAACACTTGCAACTCTTCCCCTTTCTCTCAATTCTCTAAGTATTAGATACACACTATTCAAGCTGCAAATATGAGCGATGCATAGCAGCTGTTAATTCATCTCACAAATAAGGAATTAAACTGAAGCATATTTTAATTCTAAATAAACTTTTATAAAAAAAATATGGAAATAACATATAATATTAGTTAAATTAAAATTAATAATCATCCTTATAATATAATTTTAGTATTACCTGTATTTGAATTTGTAGAAAAAATTATCAAAAATAAGAAATGTCGGATTAATTAATTGAGTTTATCTAAATAACAATTATTTTTAATTCATATAATTTTAATTATGTAGAACTAAATATTTTTTATAATATAATTTTATTTAAAATTAAATAATTTTTATAATTTTAAATTTGCATTAAAAACGAGTAGATTATATTTTAAGACAAAAAGTATCTGAAATGTATCGATTCATTACAAACACGTATGAAATGTATTGCTATAAGACTGCAATATATTAAAAAGTTTGAAGTATCAACGTGCCATTCTATACAAATATCGCGATACTTCACTCTGTTATTTCTAATTAATTTTTATATGATTAACAATTTAAATATTTTCTTACCGATACCTTTTAAAACAGATTTGATTGATATTGATAAACGATTAGGCTTTGCAAAAAACTTGGATAAAAAAAGTAGTTCACAAACGGAAATTGAAAGAAAATATTTTCCTCAAACGTGGCTATTTGAGACGCGTAAATTAAAGTAACAAATATAAGTATTTTATGTAATTCAATGTAACAAAAATATGTTAGTCAAGAAGGCAATTTTATTGGAAGTTATAATGTTCCCAGCAGTATAACGACGTGGATAATTAAAACATTTATGGTTTCAAAAGATGCATCTCTTTGTTTTGTGGACGATATCAATTTTAGAAGCTTTAAATCTGTTTTTTTAACTTACAACTTACCTAGCAGAGTCAAGTTAGGAGAACAGATTTTACTTCAAATAATTGCGAATAATTATGGGAAGTCCGATATAAATGTATTCATTTTCAATATACATATATATACTATATATTATACAATAAATATTTCAATATTAAAAATATTTCTTTAACCCTCTAAACATTTTGATATAATTTTGGAATCACTTAATTTAATATCAAATACGCTGTTTTTATTTTGAAACCACTTTTATAAATTGAATCATATATAAATACTATATATGTATGTAATTAATATTTTTACAATATTAAATAATGCATTTTAAAGGGTTAACCAGGATTTTGCGAAGGGGGAATGGGTACTATTAGGTAAGGTTTCCCCTATAAATTTTAATCGAGGTATGTCTACTTATTGACCTTCAGTGGATTACAATTTTTAAAAAAAATAATCTTAAATTTTTTTCTCGAAATTTTGAATTGTAATTTTATTTTAAAAAATATTAACTTTAACTTATTATATCTCTTTTTAACTTATTGTTTATAGTGGGATATTTTATACATTTTGGGGAGAAGAGGATAGGGGGTAAAGAGAGCGTAGGGGACTTTTTTTCATTAGCTTAATGATATTCATGATAAATTTCTGAAGAGGGGGGGGGGAATAGAGTGGCTACGTATTCTTGTGCAAAGCGTTGAATTTATGTTAGTTCTTTTATGAGTTCATCTTGAAAATTCGATAACATTGTAAAATATCTGTATATAGAAAAAATAACATTTTTTTGAATGGCAACTCTTAGGTGCGTTAGTTAAGGAAAATGACAGGCTCAAAAGGTTAGATAGATATTGGTTAGGGATAATATTTATTAAATAAAATTTAGACGTATTTAGAAATTTAAAAGTCATCACGGGCTAGCCCAAACTAGCCTTTGGAATTTTTTTTATCAATTTTGTACAAATTGTCCGACCCAATCCATAATAATTTTTTATGAAGGAAAATTATATAAATTTTTCTAATTATCAGCTTTAAAACAAGGGTTTTGCCGATCAATTTTTTAAACGATTTGATATTTTCGATATTACTACAACACCGATCCAATAACCGATGCCAATCCGATATTTAAATTGATTTTATTTACTATGTATATTTAAATGAATGTCATAAAATTAATATTTTCTTTTCAAAAAAAACTTTCACAAATTATTAAGTGTATTTTTTATATTCTCAAAAAGTTAATCACATTTAAAATACGGATAATGTTAAACAGCTCTATTTTTTTAATAATTACCTAAATCTTGTTTTTGGACAATAGATAAATATTTTTTCCAACTGTGGGCAAAGTTTTCAAGCCCTAGATAATTTAGCTAAAATCTTAAGTTAGCCGTCTAAATCTAGCTTAATGTGACTCGTTAGATATTTTCAAATAATCTTCTGGTTGTAGATATAACCAAAAAAAATTAAATTTTTAACTATCTATTTTTTAAAGTAATTCAATTTTTTTAAACATTACAAATAAATTGAATTTTGGTTCATGTTATGAATTTATTTTATTATGGAATTATACAGTCATTACGAAAATATTAGTTCTGATCCAATCTTATATTGAATATCGGCACATCCCTATTAAAAATATTTCTAAATCTATTATCAGTCATTAGCCTATTTTTGAAGCAAATAAAATATATCTATAATTTCTCATCCAGAAAAGATCAGTATTTTTGCCACCTTTAAAAGTAAAAATAATTTTTACCTAACATTGTAATTTACCATAAAATTTTATAAATAAAGAAGTTTCATTCTTACATCAGACAGAGGGAATATAGTAGGATGCTAGGAAAAATGTAGATTTTAATAATCTTATCAATAATAATGCATATAATTCTTATTTCTTATTTATTTATAATATAGTTTATATTAAAAATAAATAAGAAATATTTTTTGAAATGTCTTGTAATTTTTTTGAGTTGCTCATAGTTAAATTATAAATTTATATCAAGAGTTAGGATCAGACGGTCTTGTCTGATCTGTACCCTTGATAAGCTTTAACTAGAGCTATAAAAAGATAAGACTGGAACCAGACAAAAATGAAAGGACCGGACAGGTCTGGTTACCGATTTTAATGACAGTGAAAACTTATTGAACCTATTAAAAATGTCTTTACGGTTTAAATTTATAATATAGATCAATATTGGTATGTTCGTAGTAGATGGACTCTGTTCGGAAGTTTTACCAGGTCATAAAATAAACAAAAAAGATTTTATAGCAGCAAATAACTCGAAATCTTTTATATTCCCAATTCTGCCATTAACCAATGGAATTTTCCCAATTAAGGTGGAAATTAGTTCAAAAAATATAATATTGGATTCCGTAATCAAAAATCTAGTTGTCACAGTAATTATATTACATTGTCATAATTATATTAATTAAATAAATATTTAATAACCCTAATTTCTGATATTATGTAAATTCCTAAACTTATATATATCATGGATGCCTGCAGGACGGGAAAAGCGGTAGCGCTTACTCCCCTTTCCATAAAATTATTAAGCAAATAGTATATTTATATTGTAATTTTAAGAATTTTACAAATATTTGAAAATATAAGTACATTTACATTTTTGTAATCCTTGAAATTTTAGTAAATTCTAAATACTTAATATATTTTATCATTTGCATTTAATTTAAATGTATGTTATTTTATTAGGCTAATATAATTTATTTATAGGATGATGAGGGTGATTAGAGGTCTGCAAATGGAAAAATTTTCAGGCCTGGCCCGATTGAAATTTAGCTTTTGCCAAGTCCGACCAAATTTTTACCCTGCCCGTTTCTAATTTTTTATTAAGGTAGCCCGGCCCGGTTTGTTTAAATACAAGACCTAACTAGAAATATATGTAGAGGTGAACACCAAAATAAACAATTTGTGGTTAAATTGTAAACATTAAACTTTATGGTTTATTACTTCTATGAAATTTCAGAATTCATCAATAATCCAGCCAAATAATTTATTTGCCTATCCCGTTCATTTTCATACCCGGCCCGGCATAAATAAATTCTAATGGTGATTAATTAATTGAAAGGTATTTTTTAGGTTGAGAAGGTTTTCAATTGGATTTAACGTACATTTTTCAAATTTTTCCCAAATAAATAATGTTTGTTTTAGATATTAGATTATTTTTAATTACCATGGTAAATTTAAAACTATATTTTAAATAAAATCATGAAATTGTATAGTTTCAAATTATTTTTTAACGAAAAATTGCAATACAGCCTTTTGAATATTTTTATAAAAATCCCCCCCCCCCCCGACCAGGTTATATATCATATAAATAGATGCCTATAAACTCTATATGCGAAATAAGGAGTTTGTATAAATATCAGTGTTTCTTTTTAACACTAGATAAATTAGTTTTAAATTGTAATTAACCTTTAATTATTGAAATTGATAAAAAAAAAATTATGAATCAGATTATTAATATTTTTTAGTATTTGACACGAAATAATTGCATTAATTAAAAGAATTCTACTATTATTATTTAAAAGTGCAAAATAATTTCCTATGCTGATATATTCATGGTCCTTTCCTTCGTGATATTGTCTATGCAATAGCAAACTTTGGAATAATTTTTTTCATAATTGTTTTTCGGTCTTATATTGAAAACTTTTTTTGACTTATTTTTAGTTTTGTTTCATTTTTTTTCTATGGATAATTTCCATTTTATTTTTACACGTTACCCATATTTTATATATAAAAAAAAAATTTTTACGATTTTGAGTTCATAGTACCTTTATTTTTTCCTATAGTAAATTATGTTTAACTTTTTTAAAAATATTTTATTAATTAACATGAAATATAAGTAGTATGCCAGCTTTTACATCTGATGTCACATATGTTTAACTCTTCATAGCCCAGATAAAAAAAATTAACGCAATAGACAAGATGGGGTCAATACGAATTCCAAATTCACATTTTCTCTAAAAATTTACTTATTTCGATTATGTAATAATAGTAAGCGCCTAACTCCATATGCTGTATCAGAGCAACACTTGGTTCTCTCAAAAACGCAACAGACTGAGGAAAAAAATATTAAAGGAAATAAGTATGAAAAGGAGCCTCTAAGATTTTTGGGCAGAAAATATAAAATAACTGTTAGATATTCACATTTCCACTTCTCAAAAAATTGAAAATAACAATTTTTTTCTTCAGGTTTTTAGCTTTATAGTTTCAAAATAATGTGTTAAAATTTTTTTTTAGTAGGTAAATAAAATGATTTATGGAATTTTTTTTGACACCGATAATCAGGTGGGGTCAATAGTACCTTAGGCGCCAAAAAATAGAAACTATTCAATGAGATGAAAAATAATTTTGACAATTAAAGTTTCTGAAAAATCTGCATGATAATCCCTAAGAATTTCAAATTTTAGTCATGTTTGGAGTTTAAATAAAATGCATATTATATACTTATTTGTTATATTATATTCATTGTTATTCTCAATATATTAGGTCTCTCATTTTACAAGTTAAGTTACAATATGCAAGATTAAGAAATATTCCATGCTTCATTTAATATTATTTATTTAGACGCATATAAAATTATTTCGAAATCATAAATTCAATAATTGATTGTCATATGGGATATCTTGGTTGATTTTTATTTTTCGTTAAATATTTATTTTAGATTATAAAATGCTTTAAATAATTTATATAATGTAAATTTGAATATGGTGAAGGCTAACAATAACAAAAAGATGTAACAATTTAAATTAAGAGAAAAATATTTTTAATTTGAAAATAAAAAATTTTTATTTACACGTAAGCATCAGTTTTGTTTTCATTTGGGTTGAAACGATGGCGCTTCAATAGTGAGTATGCCCATATTTGAAAGAGAAGACCTCAATTGATCGGGTTCAACATGGGCCGGAATAACGTATTCCCGACTAAATTCCCGAACTATGGAGCCCTTTTCGGGCGAATTTTCCATGTGTTTGGCTTCGATCCGCAAACTACCGCCTAGGACTTTAACCTTAATCTCTTCCGGTACGTAATCCTTCATGTCAAAAGTGAGCTTAAATCCTGGGGTGTCAAGGATAGGTTCCTCCTGCCTGTGGTATGCAAAGACATCAGGGATTACATCTATAGGTTCTGCCATAGATGGAGGGAGAACCGTTTCAATGGTCAGAATGCCTTCTTTTGAGAGTAGCGAGGTTATAGAGTCTAGATTCACGTCTCGAGGGATAGTGTACTCACGATTGAATTCTCGAGATATCATGCCACCCGAATCTTTATTATCGCGCCGAGCTCGGATACGCAAGAGAGAGTCATCTCGCACGTCTATTTTGATTTGATCGGCTGAGTAACCTTTCATATCTACGGTCAATTTGAAAGGCTCTACCCCGGAACGGGGGGCCATAGCTGATAAAATATTGGGTGGTCGTCCAATATAAGGGTTTCCACTCGTCCAGGAATACTTGCGGCGTGGAAGAAGAATATCTTCTTCGGGTAGAATTATCTTATGCCCGTCTTCTGAATTGTTGTTAAAGAATGAGTTTGAAGTGGCACTGAAAGAACGAGAAGTGGAACTACTAAATTTATCAGGAGAAGCTATGGGGTGCCGAGAGTCTATTCCATCATATTGAATCAAAACGGGTGCCTCTAGATTCATAATGCCACGGGCATCAATCCGTGACACTAAGGCATCCGTATCAACGTTTGGCGGTATTGTAAATTCGCGATGAAATTCTTTTTGAATGTTTCCACCTGTTTCTGTCTTGGCGTCTAGCCGACCTTCCACCCTCAACACCTTGCCATCCACAATTTTAACACGAATATCTTGTGGCTTGAAGTCTTTCATATTGAGAGTAACCTGGTAGAGCTTACGTCCGGAAGAGCTTTCCACAATTCTGTGACTCTCATCCGTTGCCACACCAGACATTCCCGTACTTGCCATAGTCCCAAATGGTGTGTGGAATGAGTCATTCATCATCGTGGAGGTCATGGTTCTAGGGTTGTTTGTAAAAGGGATATCTTCTCGGGTAGGGGTCCTATTTGCTGTCGTGGAACGTTTAAATTCATCAAAATTTTTTCGAAAATTTTGAACCTCGCGCTCAAAATTGTCTACGGGGGTTGGGGCTACTTGCTGCTTTATTGTTTCAAACCGACCTGGCATAGTGGAATAACACGAGGATAGTCCACTGTTTTGAACCTCTTCCCGTTTTGTGCGTTCAAAAGAACGATGGCCTTCATCTTTATGTTTAAAGGCGTGAGAAGATTCTGAACTCGTCAAATCCTCAAAACTTTTCCTTAGCTCATTCATTTTAAAATTCATGCGGTTCAATTCTTGTGATAGAATCTTTTCATTGCTTTCTCTTCGTTTATCACTCCCAAAATCGCTTTGAGGATTCACATTTATTGGGATAGTTAAAGTTGAGGTATGCTTTTTGATGCGAGGAGTAGTGGATGATTCCGGAATGGACATATGTTAATTTTACTTTAGGTTGATCAGCAGTTGAATTTAATTAGGATTTTTTCAAATATTCTAAAATTGATTTAAAACAAATAATTTTAGTATTGTTACAATTTAATATTAAAACGTACCAATCACTGATTAATATTCGAGCATTCAATGGCTCTTGATAAATTAAACATATTGCGATTTAATTTAAAAAATATTTAGCAAATGTTTTAAAAATGTAAGTAAAAATAAATAAAAAAAACATTTTATTTTCGTAATATTTGTTTAAAAGAGTAATAAAAAAATAAAATATTTAAGAAAATAAATAATCAAAAAATATCTTTGTAATATTCGTAAAATTTTTTTCTTCTAGAAAATTCGCCATACTTATTTGTAAGATGCCTTGAAGCTGTTTTGCATATATCTGATACCAATTAGATGAAAAAAAAATTAATACAAAATATTTTATAATTAAATCTTTTTCAACAAGAAAAAATGACATGTACCGAATAAAATACAAGTTAAAAATGTTTGTATACACTGTGAGATGCAGAGGGAGTTAAAAATATCCATCTTTATCTTTTTCATTAATTATTCTTCCAAATTTAAAAAGATTGCTAAACTTTTTCATTATTTAAAAAATGTAGTAAATTGTTTTATATAAAAAAAAACATTATTTTAATATAATGATGTTAACGTAAATAATTTGGGTAGCATTTAAAAGAAAAAATATAACAATTCATTCTACGGTGAACATTCAACCACTATCAGAATGTAAAAGCGTAAACCCCCTATAGAATAGATAATTATTAATTACAGAGATGAGCTGATACTCATTAGATAGAATCGGATTGGCATCATTGATACATTTATATATTTTATATAGGGGATAAATTCATATATCTAAATAAATCAACGATATTAAAAGTTGTTAAGAAAATTTTAAACTTACTAGACAAGCAATAGCTTCGCTAGTATCATGCGCATAATTTTAGAAGTAAACCTTTGATATTTATTTAGAATTTTAGAGAAAATAAGATTTTTTGGATGGAAATAAATTGTTCGTATAAAATATAGAGTGACTGCAAAACACTAACCTATTCGGGGAAAAAAGTAACCCTTTTTATCATTCTTTCTTTTTGAAAAAAGAAAGGCTTCTCGAAGACGTTAGAATTTGGTAGGGCATGACTTAAGGAACCTATACCTTGAAGTGACCCTTCCCATGTTTCACCTTTCTATTCCAGGTGTAGAATTGCATTTAGTATGAGTTTTTTTGTCTTACTAAACAATCACCATACCCCTAACCCTTGAAGATAAAAAATGTTTTCATTTTCAACGTAACCAATCCATCTTGTTATGATATCATATTTTTCACAGATGTCACAATTCCATTTAACTACTTTATCGGGTCTGATTTGTTAAAATGCAATAAAAAATTAATTTTTTATATTCAATATTTTTTTAAATAAAACAAATAGTCAGATACTCAGAGAAATATTTGTTATTTTTATTGAAAATTTGTAAATGTAAACAATTATGAACGGAGCCGTGAACCCAAATCCTGATCCAGAACCCTTCGAACCCTCAATATTTTACTGAACCCAAATTTTAACCCTTTTATAAAATTTAGGGTTCATGGTTCATAACTTTTTTTTAAAATATTAAATTTTTATTTATTTTAAAAAATATATATACAAAAATTAAATATAAAAAAACATGCAAATTTATTTTATGTGATATGTGAATTTAAGCGTATATGCCCTCTAGTTGTGGATACAACAGAGCTAAGCTAGGTATTTTTGTTACGCAACTTTAAGTTAAAACTAAGTTTGAGATGTGAGAGCCTTGAGTATCCAAAAATTCCTATCTTGGAGTACATACTGAAGAATATCAACTCGTCTTCGGGTTATTTAAGGTATTTCGCTTTTACTTTAAATAGTTTCATGATCGATCTCTAATTATTATTTAGTATTATAAATTGTTTCATGTTCATGCCCAGCTCCATTATATCTTTCGTCGTTTTATACAACTACAGCTTTTTTTATAATTGTTGTAGGCTTATTGAAAGAACATAACCACGTGATCGAATCATGGCCTAAATTAGGGTTAGCGTTTTTTATAATATGAGCCAGGAGTTGAATTCGCCTTTTCTTTAGGGACATCTGTATTGGGCAATGTTTGGATATTTCCCATATTCTCTCGTTCGAGACCGTTCTCAGGTAAAAGATTCCATTAATTATTCTTAGGCAGTTATTGATAAATGATTGTACTCCTTGTCTCCTTTCATTTAATTCCTAAATATCACCTCGATAGAGGTAAATAGGGATGATAGTAGAGTTAAATATCCTCAGTCTCGTGAATACCAAGATCTCCCTAGTTTTTTATAGTTTGAAGTATTTATAGAATACCCCTATAGCCTAATCTTCAGTTCCTTCTTACAACTATCTTTATTATCTAGCGTGTTATTTAAATATTTTATTTTCTGGACTATGTTTATAGTTTGTGTATCAATCGTCAGGTTGTGAATGATAGGAGCATGGGGTGACGGAAGGATTGCCGTTTTGTTGAAATTTATTTCTTCCCCAACTTTTTTGCTAAAATGCTTGAGGATGGAGATTTCTTGGTTATTTTCGTTAGAATAACAATATCATCGGGGCAGGATATTAATCTATATTCTAGATAACGACTGCCGTTTTGTCCAAGCTCCAATAAGTTAGCCGTTCCTAAGGTATCTTTAATAACCCTATTTATCACAATATTAGATAGTAAAGGGAAGAGGGTGCATCTTACAAAGGGTATATTTTATTATTTATCTTAAAGCATCCCAGTAGTTCTCGTAATAATTCTTTAATATTTTTATGATATTTATCTCTATCCCGCATTCCTCTAAGATCTCCCGCATAGCCTTGTGGGTTTGTTGTCACACGTTCTCTTAAAATCTACAAACGTGAAGAAAGACTTCTGTATTATTATTTTTAAAGCGAGGATTGGCTCCCATATTTTCCCCCTGTCTGTAAGCGCATATATATTTTGAAAATAAATGTGGTAAGGATGAGATGATCCGATTTTTAACAATACCATCGAGGTTAGCGCCACTGCTCAGTAGTCACTGAAATTAGACGGAATATCATTTTTGGCCAAATTACAGATAATGACGTGTTCCATTCTACAGGGTTTTATCTGTTTCCCAAAAGCAGCTCTAAGGTGCTCTGCTTGGATGTTATCTGATTCCGGGATTTGTTCTTCCTTGATTTTTTTTTACCACATGTAGATCTTCAGGGAGAAACCAGGAGAGGAGGGCATTGTTGCATAACTTCCCCTTCCAACGATTGTTGGTGTTCTAAAATAGAAGATGTTCATATAATGATCCAGCTGGTCCAGCCAAACAGCAATCAATTTATTTTGGTCAATTATCACTCTATTATTTTCCATTTTAATGCAGGACAACTTTTTAAAGCTTTACGGTTTGCAGAAATATCTTAGTTTTTTTTGTAAGCGTCTAGGACCAGGTTTTCTTTCATATTTTTATCTATTTCGTATGCTTTCTTCACCACAAAGATTCTTCTATCGCTTCTTAATAATCTTTAATCTATTTCCAGAGATCTCTATTAAGGTTTGTGTTAGATCTAAGTTCTGTGATCAGTTGAATTGTCCTTATATACATCATTCTTTCCTCACATATGTATTAGTACTCGGTTACATATCTCTACTATATCTTCTTTAAAACCCATCCAACAATCATCTATCGATTTGAGACCTGACTAAGTTACAGAGTAAGTTACCTTTCCGGATGACAGTTCTTTATCAAATTTTGTTTTTACCTCCGGGATTTGCAGATTTTTTATGTTTTTCCTACCCAATTTTACTTCAGGTGGATTTGATATATGAAACATTCTGTTTGACCATCCCCATAAATTTTTAATTTCTATCGTAACTTTAAGTACTGACCAACTTTTCATGCTGACCCCTAAGTTTACCATAATTAAGTCAGTGTTCATCGTACTTGGCTATTTCTGGATACACATATTATCTACTTTTTTTTATCTACTAACAACCTTAGAACTCCTAATTTATTCCTAATTATGTTAACATTTAGAGAGGTGATTTGTAGTTTGCCCTTAAATCCTTTTCCATTAGTGTATACTAACTTGAATATGCTAAGTTTTATATCAATACATGGAGAAGTTAGAAGGTTTCGTGAAATTAAATTTAAAGCAGATATAACTTGAACGTAATAGAAGCAAATAATTGAGGCTATAAGAAATAAATTCAGACTTGTATATAAAGATTTATGAGAAAATTAGGGGAGGTGTCAAAATTTAAATTTTTTTTATTTTCTATTTAAATACATTTTATGGTGTAAATTATCTTGCGTGGAATTCTTTTTATTATATTTTAGAGTACTCCATTTTATGTAAAAATTTTAAAATTTTACCGGCATATTTTGTAATTTTTATTAAAAAATTATATATATTTTAGGAATATTTATTTTGTTTGATGGATTATTAAATTAAAGGTAAGATCAAATAAAAGAATATAATCACAGAGTAAAATAGTTTATTAATTGCAAGTTGCAATGCACTGTCAAAGTTAGACATAAAAAATCGATATTTTAATTTTATCATCTTGATTTTGGAAGATATCATGATAAGTTGCTTATATTCTAATAATAATGTAATTTATTTTTATGATAAGGCCTAGTTTATAAAAACTGGTGTTTCTGTTTTTTTACTATATTTTATAAGTATTTATCTTTCTGAAGCACGAACCCTGAACCCGAACCTGGTTCAGAGATATTTCATTGAAGCAGAACCCAAATTTGAACCCTTTTTTTAAGGGTGGGTCACAGCCCTGATTATGAACGTTAAAAATATTGAAGATCAGGTCAGTCGTTGGTAAGGACTAGACCATGGTCTTTAATTAAAAGACAGCCCCAGACCTTGGTCATAAATAAAAGAACCGGCCCAGGGCCAGTTATTTAATTTTTTTTGTTATTTTAAAAATATTTTCTTTTTTTCTAATTTAATTCTTGTTTTATTATTTTATTAGATCTAGAAGTATTTTATGTTAACAATATCAAATCAAATATGATTAATGAATTAATACAAATTTTTAATTTAAAAGTAAAATGCTTTTCTGACAATCTTTTCGTTTTCATATATATTTTAAAATAAAACTGAACTAAAAAGTATCACAAAAATAAAGTAACTCTTCTAGAAAAATATTAAATAAAATATTAATAAAAATTTACTTAAAAAAATATGAATAGAATAGTAGA